ACTAGGCGTTTGCTCCAGCAAAATCGAGAGGAAGCGACCGTTCAGATCGAACAGCCCGAGTTGAACGAAGGGCAGACTGAGGAGGGAAACTACAGTGGGACTGTTGGTCAAGCCAACCCACCAATAGTTAGGCAAAACCACCAGGATGGAGGAAATGATGGACGTGGATGCAAATACAAGGATTTCATGGCGTCCAAACCACCGAGTCTATCTGGAAGCCCGACGCCGGTGGAAGTCATAAACTGGATCTCCGAGATGGAGACGATGTTTGAGAGTTGTGAGTGTAGCAACAGGCAAAAGACCACTCTCGCGGTTCCTCTGTTGAAATCTGGAGTACTAAGCTGGTGGAAGCTACTAGCTGATTCGATGCCCAAAGGAGAAGCGAGCAAAATGTCATGGGAGGATTTTCTGGTGCAGCTAAAAATGCAGTACTGCTCTGAACAGGATCTTCTGGAAATCAACAACGAGTTTCAGAATCTAAAGAAGGAAAGATGAGTGTCATCGAGTATGCTGCAAGTTTTACGGAGAAAATGAAGCTTGTTCCTTATCTAGTTCCAACTGAACTCTCCAAGGTCAATAAGTTTGCCCACGGATTACCAGCAGACTTTGGTCCAATGGTCAAACAAGCAACCACTTTGAAAGCCGCCATCTGGGCAGCCAAGAATGTCGAGACCCAAATAAGAGAAAAGGGTCTGGAGAAAGTTGAAGTTGGTGAGAAGAGGAAGTTGGAAGGATCCTCAAGACCTGATAATAAGGGAAAGTTCTCAAAGTCTAACATGGACGACCGAAGGAATGAAGCCAAGTGGTGTGAGAAGTGCAAGAAGAAGCACTTCGGAAGATGCGATGGAGAAGTGACGTGCTATAAGTGTGGTAGGACCGGTCACTATTCCAGAGATTGTACATTCGACAACAAGAAGTGCTACGAATGTGGAAATAATGGGCATATTTCAAAGAACTGCCCAAAGAAAAATAAAGCAGCAAGACCAGAAACGCCACCAAGGCCAAGGGCATTTCACATGATCCTCGACGAAGAAGAAAACCGTGCGAGGAATCAAGGATGAGGACTTCATATCCGAAGATCAAGTTATGCAGTAGCCATAGTATTGTATGAAGTAGCCTATTAGAGGCATAGCCTAGGGTGAACTTGAACACCTATGTAATCGTTTCAAGAAATAATATGAAACCTTTGTTTTGTTATCTGATGTGTTAAGTTGTTTTTTTTTCTTGTATGGTCACTTGGAAAAACTGCGGGACAATACTTGGGACGAGTATGAGTAGGTGTGAATGGTAGTAGAGGCCTATACTACCGGAAGCACAGGACTCACACTTGGATCAGGGAAAGTCACAAGGTTACCAAGGAGCCAGTAATTGATTTCGTTTTATTCAAGTATGTCGTTACCATTGTTTCGGTAATGACTAAGAAGATTGTTGTTATCCCGACCCTAGTGGTCATATCACATTGAGTCCGACTACGATGAGTAGGTTACGTGGTTCAGAGAACCAAGTTTGATATAGCGTCCGACTTAAACCAAACAATTAAAATCAAAGCGATCAATACAAGTATTGCGCTCGTTGGTAGCTAGAAATGCTACATGTTAAAGTATGATTATATCACATTAGAACATGAAGGAAGGCTTAGTCTGTTTTAGAATTTAAGAGACCTGAGTCTAAATGTGCATCACATGATGATAGGTCATAATTTGGAGTCTAATCTGAGGTAGAGAGCAGGTGCATGATCAAGTATTGCTTACAATCAATAAGTCTAAGAGATAGACTTGAAGGAATAAAGAATTTATAATTATTACCTAGGATGAAGAGATGACGTATGGAGTCAATATACGATCCTTGTTTCGTTGATGATTCCGGGACGTAATCATCCTAAGGGGGAGATAATTGTAACGCCCGCAGATCCGGGCTAGTCAATTTAGAGGCAATAGGGGTTGAAAATGACTTTTCGACAAAAGATTATTTAGAATAAATAATCTTAACCAAGTTGTAGAATATGTCACAAGGTTTCCGTACATATAAAGAACGCCGAAATCCGAGTTATAACGAAGAAGTTATGGTCCGCCGAAGTTTTACGGCAAAACCGGCACGGCACCGGGAGACGTAAATAGTGAATTTACGATAGAAGACTTTTTAGCCTTAGCAATCTAAAAAAAATTCGTAGAATATGTTAAACTAAGAACATCGATAAAAAGAACGCCCAAATCTGACTTCGTATGAAGAAGTTATGATTTTTCTAAGATTCGGCTTAGCAGTGCACGGCCTGAAACTCGAATTTTAGTTCGAGCGGTTTTTGGCTTACGTGACCTAACTGAGAGTTGAAGATCTCATTAATAGGAACTCAACGGTAAAAAGACAGACGAAAACGGAGTCCGTATGAAGGAGTTATGAACTCTTCGCGGTCATTTAACAGTCTAATCGCCTCCTACTGTTAAATTTGAGATCGGTCGAGAATTAGCCGACGGAGTCTAAACGAAAGTTGTAGATCTTGATTTTACCTACGCGTGGATATAAAGAACGTCGAAAACGGAGCTCGTATGCGAAAGTTATGATTTTTCTAAGTTTGAGGGCTGATACGCGATAGGGGTGACGTGGCACCACCAGAATTGGACACGTGGCACCACCAGAAGGCCACCACATGGACCAACTCGGCGAGTAGGTCCCCCTACTCGGCGAGTCCATCAGATTCCACCCCTATAAATAGAGGTGCCGGGTTCCTCATTTCCTCACCCCTCACCCCTCTTCTTCTCTCTCTAAACGCTCTCTAAACTCTCTCTCTAAGCTCCCTTAAGCCCCTAAAAGCCTAGGTAAACCCCCTAGCACCCGAAGGAAGCCCTGAGGCTCCCGGAGTCCCGAGAAAAAGGGTCTTTCGGCTTGGGAACGCTGCTCCAGCGAAGCCCGACTTTGCGAAAAACCCGCTGTAAGTAAGCTATGCCTACGCTATCTTTAGTATAGCTTATGTTTTAATATAGTAACATTATTAGGAACTTATAATGAGTATTTGGGCTATTATTATGAGTTATATTGAGTGTTATTTAACGCTTATATAATAATAATAATAGTCAGACTATTAATTAGTCACGGTTATCGTTAGACTAAACCCTAGTGGTACTGGTACTAGGTTTTATCGAAGGAATATCGTTTTGAGAGTATCGAAGCGCTGTCCGAGTGCTGAGTCACCACCTTTCAGGTGAGTGCATGGTCCCTTTCATCTTACACATAGATATGAAGTATTTTAATATAAATTACGTGCTATGTGTACATATTGTCAGAATACTTGTTGTCTATGCTGGATGAATGATTTATACATGTTTTAAATGATTTAAACTGTATATTTATTTTATAGCTACAAATATGTTGGGATAAAACATGGGTAGATGAAATAGTTGGTGAGTGATGAAATAAAATAATGAGAGATAGGTGATGATAGGAAGGTGATGATAGATAGGTGATTATGAATCGGTGATGTAGGATACTACAACCTTGTCCGACAATTTGGAGATGTAGTCATCTACCAGAGTATAGATGGCGACCGCGGACTATTATAGACAACCCCGTGGAAACACCAGCAGGCTAGTAACCTGTAGGTGATGAATTACGAGTTCAGGCGATGTTGTAACTACGTATTCATGCGATGATAGTCTAACCCTTATTATGAATTACGAGTCCAGGCGATGTTGTGGCTACGTATTCATGTGATGATAGACTAACCCTTATCATGATTTACAAGTCCAGGCGATGTTGTGGCTGCGTAATCATGCGATGATACCCTAACTCTTGCTAGACACATATTGAGGGAGTAATCCTCGGATTAGTATTGTCTATGCAATGTAGGCGATGATCCTTAGGTAAAGTTCGTAGGAACAATCATGTAAGGAAATACGATGTAAGGAGATGAGAAGTAAATATGATATAGGAGATGACCCTTGAGATAATATCTTTAGGGAAGACTAAAAGAAGATAATGGGGATGGGTAATTGGGTTGATTGTTTGATTGTTTAAACATAATAACTATATTATTGTGGGTTGAAAACCCTATGTACTCACCAGGTTTCCCAACCTGACCCACTCAGTTTATTTACATCACAGGTGGCGATATGAAGTGACATTACACTGAGAGATTTAAAGAGATGTAGATCACTAGTGTAAATAATTGTAAGTTCTGTTTATGCTTATGTTTCTGTATTAACGATGACATCCCAAACGTTTTAAGATGAATAAAAATACGTTTCTTCGAAAATGTTTTAATAACGTATTTATCGTGTTTTTCTGGGAACAAATTCCGCAACCTTTTTATAAAATGAAGTACTCTGATTTTTATAAAGCATAAACAAAATCGGTCTTTTCTGGCCGTGATTTTGGGGATGTCACAGTTGGTATCAGAGCATTAGTTTAAGCGAACTAGGAATATGGATTTATTTCTAGACTTAAACTTAGAATGCTAAGTAATGATTGTGAGGAGTGTGTCAAATAGATTTAGGTAATGCACATGAATAGACACAAGCACTAGCTTATTTTAGGAATGATGCCTAAATTCCTTTTACGTGCTAAATGATGCTATAGTTTGATCGGATCTATGGTCTGTTGCCGACCGGATCTGGAAACCTTATGTGTCTAGGATTCTAAACGTACGAATACGATATTAGAACTAACATATAAACGTTTCGGAGTGATAAGGATGATTTAAACATCAATCCTAAGTAAAGGTCTAGATTCACCTTATTCGGTGTAGATATCAAGATGGCAAGAACCCGTAGCGGAAACGTAAATGAGAATGGGAACCGAAACCAACCCCCAGTGATTGAGCAAATACCAGTGATGGAAGCTGCTGCTGAGCCAGTCTCAATGGCCGGAGTGCAAGCGATGTTGGATCGTCAAATGGAGGAAACTAGGCGTTTGCTCCAGCAAAATCGAGAGGAAGCGACCATTCAGATCGAACAGCCCGAGTTGAACGAAGGACAGACTGAGGAGGGAAACTACAGTGGGACTGTTGGTCAAGCCAACCCACCAATAGTTAGGCAAAACCACCAATAGCTAGATATTCGTGAAAGAGGAGCCAACTGTTGAAGAAGTAAGGCTTTGAATTGGGAAAATTTCTTGATAAGATCTTCATAGGAGAGCAGAGAAGACGAAGCAGGTGCAGAAGATAAGGTTTTAAGCTCCTTTAACAACATGAAAACCTTCATTAAATTCTTGTTCTCTGTTGTAGAAAGTTGAGCAATTTGAGGACTCAGACTTTCGTACAATTTAGTAAAATTAGTAACTGCATCACATATGATATCCACCTTTTGATTGAGAGATGCAAATTCAGTACGAACATTTGGAATCTCTTTCTCCATATCTTGTCGAAGTTCTTGGAGTTTATAATTCACATCTTCTCTAACTTTCTTCACATCTTGAATAAACAAAAGTTCAATTTTCTGAGCATTGACCCTCATCTCATTACTATGATCACAAAGATCAATTTTCTCCATGAGACGAGACTCAGAATCCTTTATCATTCTGGAAACTTTTGAAGAAATCCTCCCTTCAACCATCTTTAGCATACCATCCACTTCGAGACTGGTCACTGAATTTCCTCCCCCAAGATCAGCCTGAGACTAAAGAATTAAATTAAGTTTTGTATTTAATATCTTGAACTGTTTCATTGTCATGAGCATGTGATCTAGGAAGTCAGTCTCTTCATCATCAAACTCTAGATTTTCAAAGGTCCCTCCAAAACTTTCGAAATCATGTTCAGTTTCCATGAAAGAAGAATCTTGAATTGGTGAAGTGGTGGTAGGTGGATCAGTGGATTGTGAAGAAAAAAGAGATGTTATTGGTTGTTTAATGATGTTTTCAAATGTAGGAGAATCAGTTGTGGATGTAGTAGGAATGACAAGTGTGAGCTGTGGAGGTAAGGAAACAATATTATATGGGGTAACATTCAAAGGTTTACCTTTGTCTCCAGTGTGCGAAGTATCCTCACCCATAGTGACATTTGCATCCATATCAGATATGTTTACAAAAATGTCAGAAGTTCATGCCTCCACAGAAACTGTCTTGGCAACCGAAACTTCGGGTTGTATTACATCAGTTGATGCAATATGAGAAGAATCCTTCTAAAGATCAGCTTCTAGTGTTTCTGGAATTGTTTCATTTTCATCAGCAGTAGACTCTAATGAAATAATCACCCTACTATTCTTCTTCTTCTTCTTCGATATATGTTTGGCCATATCAGTTGCCCTTCTCTTCATAGAAGATGGTGAAGCAGGGGGAGGAATATCGCGAAAGATAACTCCTTGATGTGAAACCTGTGGTTTGCGAACAACATTCGTTAAAGGTGATCGACTCTTATGTTTTGACTTTATCTTGATTCTTTGAAAAACGCCAGTCTTTGATGGAATGATTCCCTTTTGAGTCGATGGGGTATCAGCAACAACAACTTCTGGTTGGATTGACTCGGCTTCTGTAATTGGTAATTTCTTCGGACTCTTTGTGGATTTAGATTCCTTGACAGGTTTTTCAGAAGATTCAGCAGCAACCTTATTTGAACGTTTAGTCTTCGACTCTTCTCTCTAGCCAAAAGAACCTCAGTTTCAACAGAAGTATCGATGGTTTGTAAGTAAGTGATTAGAACTGTGTTGGTAGGATCAACTCTTTTCAGCATGGCATCAGGAATGCGAGAAACAATTGGAAATTCGTCAGTATCATCAGTTGCATCCTTTGAACAACTATAAACATGAAACACAACCTTTTCTTCATCTGCCGGAACCAAAGTCCCTTCCTTCTCATAAAAATATTGTAAAATCAAACTCCAATATCGAGCACAAGAAATTCCATGAAGAGCATTCGTGTTCTCAATACTCTTCAAGAACTCTTTCCACAATTGAGTAGAGTAATCAACTTGAAGATCATAGTATAAACCTACGACCATCGCATAAACTTCCATCCTACCCTTGTCCAACCCAACAGTTCTTCCAGTTAAACATCTGAGAAAAATGCAACTGGGGTTAATGACCCATATCATTGACAATGTGAACAATTTGTGGGAATGTAAAAGTGACGTATGGTGGAGAATTAGGTATATCGATAATTTGGAAGAACTTCTTTGAGAGTCTAACCTTCTTATTATTCACAAGATTAAACAAAACTTCATTTAAGGCTTTAGAGTAAGTAGCTGTTGATCCAGCTTGAGACAACCATGAAAGAGGCACAGAGAATGAGTTGAACATGGCTTTTGATAATACAGAACTTTTCAAAGCAACAATGAGAATTTTCAGTTCTTCAAGATATTGAGAGACGTTTGCTTCAACTTGATAATTGGTGCCTTAAATATTCATTATTGGCAATGAGGTTACATCATCGGTGGTGTGAGACAAAGTTGCATCAAGATTAGCAGTCGCCATTGTTAGGGTTTGAGAGTTGGATGTTTATCAGAGAACATTTGGGAATATGAAAGCGTAAACTGATAATGAACCCTTGAATCCCCTTTTATATGCAACTCTGAATTTTGAAATCAAAGAGGGATAAGTATTTAATGATCTGTGACGTGTCACCGAGAAAACCACGTCATGATGATGAAAAAGAAACCGTTCGTGATAAAGTAATTGTCACATCTCCTCAAAACCCGCACATAATTCAAACACTTCCCTCAAATAGGCTGTATTGTTTACCCTAATAGAATAGTAACCGTTGGAACCCTTCGGATGGAGGTAAGGCTCTTTTACTTTATGGTTTCAAAGTAAAGTCATTTGCTAGATTCTTGAAATCATCAGCTTGAGTTGGTATTACTCAGAACCTCAAGGATTTCATGTGTGTTAAGTGTGAAAGAATGAAGATAAGAGGCAATTATATTTTTTTTTGGAGATTCAGTGATGTCAAAAATTTAATTTTATACGAAGGCAGATAAAACCCTGGGCAAAGATTGCTTCATTAATTATCAAGAGAGAAAATCATTAGCTTGTGTATTTTCCCGTGAATTACAATTGAGTACTTGTATATAAGTATCGAAGGGCTTCTTTTAAAAGGCTTTTGAGGTGGTTTAATGAATTTCGTTACATATCAACCTAAACATAAGGTGAGTAATTTCAACAGAAATTACTTGTTTGACCAGTGTAGTCAGTGACAAGTTTAATTTGAAAAGCTTTTAAGTAACATGGAATTTCAGATAAAACTCACACTGAAATCATATTCAAGAAAAAAAATTATATTCTGGATCCTGTTGGGTAACAAACATCATGGGTTTCGAATGTTTGATCAATACCATGCATAAGAAATGAATATGATTTGCAGTTTCGAATGAAGGTACAGAAACAAATGTTTCGTTAAAATCTGGAACTAAGTTCCACGTAAATTCCTTAAAGTGTAATTGAATTGGGTTTCACTTCCATCACGGTCTCATGATGTCTGATCATAAACAAAAATTTGTGACATATCTAAGTTTCGATTAGTTTGATCAGAAACCTCCTGGACATATGTCTTTGTGTGTGATAGTGTAAGAATTTTGCGATGAAAAAGATTGGTATATGAAAGAACATGTACCTCAGTTATTTTGGACCAAACAGTAAACTCTTAACTCATGTGAGAAGAGTAAGGTAGCTCATTGGACTAATGTGAATGTAAGCCTAATTGGGAAGAAATCTTCGTATGAAAATTTCATTAAGGCTTTCAAACATTGAGTCATTTTGACGCTTCGGACAACATGTTGTAGCATGCTTCTAGGTACATCTTAACAAGTAAGAAATTTGAAATTCAAAGAATAGAATGATAAATATACCTCACCCTAGAACTGTAAGCCTTATCCTCTTTGAATCTTCATGAATATCTGCAACACAGTACTTAAAAAGAAAGAAGAAACGAAATCTTTTTGTTGTTTTTGATTTTTCAAAAATTAAGAACAAAATAATAAGAATTTTTTTTGATGTTTTTAATTTTTTTAAAAAAAAAATAAAGAACAAAGTCAAATAAAAGTACTCGTTGCAAATATTCAAAGTTTTACCAAGCTGATAAAAATACCAATCATATGAATTCGAAGCATTTGAAGAGTTGACTGTGAACAGTAACCTCTGAATACTGAATGATTTTTCTTTGTCTTTTTCGTGTAATCACTTTTTGTCTTTTTCACATGGAATTGAATTTCCATCAATCATTCTTAGTCCTTCCAAAATATGTACAAACGATTTTTCATCCAAAGCTTTTGTGAAAATATCATCCAACTGATCAGTTGTTTTCACAAAATGTACTTCAATATTTCCTTCCTCTACATGATCTTTGATGAAGTGATAACGAAGAGCTATATGTTTAGTCATTGAATGCTGCACAGGATTATGACAAATTCTTATTGCACCTTGTGAATCATAATATAAAGGAATCTTTTTCATGTTAATTGCATAATCACGTAATTGACTTTGGATCCATATTATCTGTGAAGTGCATGCAACAACAACAACATATTCAGCTTCATCCGTTGAGATTGAAACACATGTCTACTTTTTCGATTGCCAGCTCACCAACTTTCCATCGAGCAATTGACATCCTCTACTTGTGCTTTTCCTATCAAGGTTACAACCTTCCAAATCTGCATTCGAATATGCTTGAACAATGAACCCTGTATTCGAAGGATACCACAATCCTAGCGAAAGAGTTCCTTTGTGTAACAGCTCGGAATTTCAGGTATTGTTTTAAAACTATTTTTGGGGACATTTTAGGAAGGGACTCGGCAAGTTGGTGCCTGACTCGCCGAGTAGGACCACAGACTTGGTCGCAGATTCGCGACTGGACTCGACGAGTCCATTAGGGACTCGGCGAGTCGACGTTGTTCAGCAGAAACCCTAGCCGTTTGGTTTTGGATCATTTATAACGCCTCTTAGGCCGTCATTGTTCGTTTTTGCTTACTGAGAAGAACCCTAGAACGATTGTGTGCGTCTAGAACAAGGATTGAAGACCATTGTTGGGTTTGGAAGAGTTGTGTGCAAGGAAGAGGAAGGTTTAGCTAAAGGAACAGCAAGAGAATCACGTACTGAGGATTGGGGACACAGAAAGTGCATCAATCAGGTAATATCTCGGATTTCGTTCTTCTGTGATTGATGTGTATATGAAGTTAGGGTTTATAGAACCCATTCAATGATTAGAGGGATTATTATGTTGTTACCCAAGTGTTTATACCCCAGTAATAGGATGTTTAGAGGTCCAGATAGTCCCATGAGTGTGTATTTCGGAACCATACGTGTTTCAGGAAGCAGTTGATCGACTGCATGGCATGGACTCGCCGAGTCGGATGAGCAGACTCGGCGAGTAGCTTGAAGATTCACTGGGACTCGCCGAGTTGTTCTTCAGACTCGGCGAGTGGAGTCGGGGTGGCCCCGCGATTCTTCCACGAGGACCTCGTCGAGTCAAGAGGGATACTCGACGAGTAGAAGGGGAACAACAGGGAAATTTGGGGAGGACGTCTAGACTCGCCGAGTCGCCTTTGCACTCGATGAGTCCGGTCAAGTTGACCGTTGACCAGAGTTGACCTGCATGTAAATTCTTAGGGTCAGTTGTCTTGAATGATAAGAGTATTAATAAGGGTATATGGTATTATAGGGAGTCTGCAGATTGGCGGATCGAGTGCGAGTAGTTTCAAGAGTTGATAGCTTACATTACCACGAGGTGAGTCTTCTCACTATACTGTACCCGGAAGGGTTTGACTGTGTGACCGGAAGGTCGGATATGTTATGTGTTTTATATGTGCTATAATTGAAAGGAATAGTTGCTATGCATGCTATGTATGTTTCTATGGGCCGGAAGGCAATGTATTATGTGACAGGAAGGTCAGGTATGATATATGATATATGTGATATATGTGTTAGAGTAAATGTATTATGTGTTATATATGTTTATGGGTCGGAAGGCAATTATCTTATGGGCCGGAAGGCAATTATCTTATGGGCCGGAAGGTGATTATCATATGGGCCGGAAGGCATTGTACTGTGGACCGGAAGGTCCAGGCCTGGAAAGGCGTATATGTGTAAGTGGTATACTGGGGAACTCACTAAGAATTTATGCTTACAAGTTGTTATGTATGTGTTTCAGGTACTAGCGAGGACCGTGGGAAGGCGCCGGCATGATGCATACACACTGCTGCTATTTGAGATCTTGGGGATTTTACATATGTATTTGTTTTGAAACATGAAATAAATATTATTGGTTGAATGAACTCACTTTATTTAAAATGAAAAATTTATTTGGAAATGTTACAATTGGTATCAGAGCCTTGGTTTGAGGGATTCGGGTGTACCTTCGGGTGTAACTGAACTCAAACCGAGGATTTGAGGAAAAATCTTTTAAAAATAATAAATACATAAACTTTTATAAATGGTAAAGTGGTAAATAAGAAAGACGCAGTGTGTACGATCAGCCAGCGCCCGAACGGTAAAGATCCCCAGAATACCTTACAATGTTATGTTATGCACTGAATTATGAATTGTTATGCATGCTAGAAGACTAGGTATACATGATAGGACTAGAATGGCCTGTTTTGTGATGCCTTAGTCTAGGGAGGTTGCTTGTATGAGATATTCGGTAGCGTGCAGGTAGAGAGTGCATACGAGGAGTAGAGTACTCACTATTCGGGGTTTGGGGAGGAAGATTTGGGACGAATACTGACACGGTGTGGTCGGTGGTATTGGGCCCGTACTACCGAAGACACCGGGTCGGTGGAAGACCCAAGTAAGAATCCCTGGATATCGGAGACTGAGTAGGGTTGCGTTATCGAGTACAATTGTACTTGATGGAGTCTCTGATAATTTTATGTTGTATTTCAGAGACATCATGGTTACGACACGCCACGGAGCGAGTTCGAGCAGTATGAGTGACGAGGAGATTCGTCAGATGATTCAGGAGGAGGTAGCTGCGGCGGTTCGGGCTGAGATCCCGGAGATGTTTGGGTCCATTAAGACCACCCTGATGGAGGAGTTTGAGGAGCGGTACGCCGCACTGACTGAAGCTGCAGTCGCTACCGCTACCGCAGCTGTGGCCGCTGCTAGGCTGCAAGGGGTGATTCGTTGCTATTCCGGGAATTCAGCAACACGAAACCCCCTGAGTTCGATGGGACGCAGGATCCGATTGCTGCAATGAGGTGGATCACCGATATTGAGGGGTGCTTCTACACTTGTTCATGCCCGGAGCACCTGAGGGTACGGTTCGCCTTGAACCAGCTCCGTCTGGGAGCGAAGGATTGGTGGAAGTTCGTGACGGCGAACTTCACTCAGGCGGAGATTTCAGCGGTGACATGGGAGAGGTTTACTGAGATGTTCAGGGACGAGTACGTTCCCCCAGTGGAGAGGGAACGATTGATCCAGGAGTTCTTGACCCTTAAGCAGGGTACTGATTCCGTTGCGGTGGTTACACGGAAGTTTCATGAGAGGGCGATGTTCTGCCCCGAGTTGGTGTCTACAGAGCAGTCACGGATGAGCCGGTACTTGGGCGTGTTGAGGAGGGATATCCGGGAGTTTGTGTCAAACTCCACCTATCGTACTTTCACTGAGCTTCAGGCGAATGCCAGGAAGCGCGAGATCGAGTTGGAGACCCAGGCCAGGGAGGAGGCCGAGTCTCGGCAGGTGGACCGGCGACCGGCTCAGTCTCAGCCGGCAGCCAAGCGGTTCAAGTCCGCTGATTCGAGGACGGGAGGTTCGAAGGGCCGCACTTGCGGAAAGTGCGGCAAGAGTCATGAGGGGGCGTGTAGAGCGGGTGGTTGCTACAAGTGTGGCAAGGAAGGACACATTGCCAGGGATTGTCCTAAGGGGTTTATGGTTTGCTTTCATTGCAACCAGACAGGCCATCGGAAGGCCGAGTGCCCGCAGCTTCGTCAGGGATCTACACCTACTACCAGGACTACCGAGACACGACCGGCGAAGGTCGAGGCCCCGAGGGCTCGCGGGAGAGCCTTTCAGCTGACTGCGGAGGAGGTCCGCGCTGCACCCGATGTTGTGGCAGGTATACTGTAATTCGCGTATTTATTTAAAGTTGAAATGTTATGCTTATGTTAATATATGTGTAGGTACTTTTATTGTGAACTCTATGCCTGCTCTTGTGTTATTTGATTCGGGTGCGAGTAGATCCTTTGTATCTTTAGCTTTTAGTCAGCATATCAGCATTAGTCGTGAGCCGTTAAGTCGGCCTCTGAGCGTTTCTATAGCGGCCGAGAGGGTGGTTTGTGCTACGGAGGTTCTTCGGGGATGCGTGCTAGAGATTTTTGGGGTTGCGTTCCCGATTGACCTAATTCCTATTGCGATGGGTGATGTCTGTGTCATCGTGGGCATGGACTGGTTGAGCCGATTCAGCGCCGTCATCGACTGTGAGCGCCAGCTGGTGACTATACGAGACCCTAGTGGGGGAGTTCTTACGGTGTACGGCGAGGGTACCCGTTCGGGATCAGCTTTTTGTTCGGCCGCTAGGGCGAGGCAATGTCTACAGCAGGGATGTAAAGGTTTTGTGGCGTATGTGATGGATACGCGGGAGGCTTCCGAGAGACCGAGGACAGTGGAGGAGGTTCCAGTGGTGCGCGAGTTTCCAGATGTTTTTCCCGAGGATTTGCCGGGAGTACCTCCTGCGAGGCAAGTAGAGTTTGGTATCGATCTGGTTCCGGGGGCTGCGCCTATTGCGAAGGTGCCTTATCGTCTTGCACCTCCAGAGATGCAAGAGTTGTCCTCGCAACTCCAGGAGTTGCTGGGGAAGGGATTTATTCGGCCGAGTAGCTCGCCGTGGGGAGCACCGATTCTATTCGTCAAGAAGAAGGATGGTTCACACCGGATGTGTATTGATTACCGGGAGTTGAACAAGGTGACGGTCAAGAACCGCTATCCGTTACCGAGGATCGATGATCTATTCGATCAGTTGCAAGGGGCATCTTGGTTTTCCAAGATCGATCTGAGATCAGGGTACCATCAGGTAAGAGTGCGGGATGAGGACGTCCAGAAGACAGCATTCAGGACGCGGTATGGGCATTACGAGTTCGTGGTGATGCCTTTTGGGCTCACCAATGCCCCGGCAGTGTTC